GAATAGCGATGGCTTCCAACCTAATAGCGATGGCTTCCAACCCAATAACGATGGCTTCCAACCTAATAGCGATGGCTTCCAACCTAATAGCGATGGCATGCGATGGCTTCCAACCTAAAAGCGATGGCTTCCAACCCAACAGTGATGGCCTCCAACCTAATAGCTTACCGAACATGACTAGGAGTGACCCTATTGTCATGATATGACTTACTGTAGCTTTTTAATGTTGTATACTTAGTTCCCTGGGCCATCTGAATGTACTTAGCGCACTATGATGCTTGTTTGCAACGTGATACAGCTTATGCGAACAAAACAAATAGCTTCTGCAACTCATCCCTTGACAAAGCCTCAAGCAACTCATCAGCTCATCCCATCGAAGTTCTGCTTTTGCTGTGGCACCGGGCGCAGCTAGGCTCCCACCGCTGCAATACTCTAAGAACAAATGCAGCTTCTCCGGGCCTGGCCCCGCAACGATGTCCGGATGGCCGGCTGGGTCAAGGTTCTGTAGGCTGGACAAAAGGGATCAACCTATCACTGCCTGCATTACCTTTATGTACTCTTTAAATCAGGAATCCGCCCTTCAAAGCATGGCTTGCATTGGTTTCCACTCTCCGTACCAACAGATTTGGACACAGAGCAGGCCCCTGACCTCCCTGCGCCCCCATGACAAACTCGTGGCCGTAGTAGCTGACGATGAAGGGATGTTCCAACCTGAGATCGGGGCTTGGAACAACTGGAATGTGTGATGCGAGACATGGGGCGGGGCGCCCAACCCGCTTGGGGGTTCATCAGCAGCTTTTCGTGTGAACAGCGTCCTCTGGGGAGCAGCCAGCGGTCAAAAGCGGAAGACTTGGAGCTCAAGACCTGGCAAACCCATGTGATGCAAGGGCAAGGAATCAAGACGTATGCTGCCGCCAATATTGTGGACTCACAATGATCCGTCCTAGAATGTGTACAAATATGCATCCCCAATCTGTGGCAGTAGATTGTTTGGTGTTTGTTCCACATAACTTTTGCACTTTCAACTTCAAATTCTTGTGGGTTGATAGACTCAGTACTTCATCTTGCCGTCCAAAAATGAGTATTACATCGCACATGGGAGGTGAAGTCATTGACGCAAAAAGGTCTCCTAAGTAGATCAAACAAACTGAAGAAACATGAAACATTGTTTGCCGATTAATATGGATCCAATCACTTATAAAAATCATCAATTAGCTCGCTGTGACCATGGGTCACGAATCTACAAACCCTCTGAATGCTGCACTCGCCCCGACTCGCCCGGCTCGCTCCGCTGGGCGTTCCGGACTGCTCGCAAAGTCGAAGCTCACGAGTGAGACGCACGAGCCTGGTAGCACGTAGCAGGCAGCAAGTAGCTAACGATTAAAAGCGCCATTGGTGGCCAGACAGGTACAGGCCAAGATCATAGTTCCCACCTAGTACCAGCCATTAAACCAGTTTGATTCGATTCTTCATGTTGCTTCGGGGAGGGGGCCTACACCCAAGATCTCTCATCCAAGTGTGCAGCACGTGAGCAAACGGCGATGCTCCCACAGTGTCACAGTTCACAGGTAGTGAAGGAGAGGTTGACCAATCGGCTACCCCAAGATTTGAAATGGCCCCATGGATGGATCTTAATGAATCATAACCATGACGATGAAGCTCAGGAGGATTGTTGATCCAGGCCGAGGATGAGGAGGAATATGAGGACCAGGAAGAGGAGGAGGATGTTGAAGCGAGAAAGAACCAAACCGATGTTGTTGCGAACACGAGCAGTGACCATGCAACTGGGTTGTACCATGATGAGTCTTACAGACTCAGCTTGCACCATGTGTCACAAAATACCCACGATATCCCACGATCACTAGCCTAAGGTCAACCAGTAGTTCCACACAAATCCAGATCCCTTGCTGTGCTTTGAAGGGAACATCATCTTCCCAATCTGGCGGGTTGGTTCATATCGACCACTTTGTTGAAGTGATCAAGGGGATCGCAGGGAAATTATAGAAAGCTACCAGCTCTTGTGCCACATGAACATTGCCCTTAAGTCCGGATATCTCCACTCCCGCATTCCATCCCACAGAACTGCCCCCGACTAGATCCGCTACCGATCGCCGCGCAGAGTCGCTCCCAATCGCTACCGATCGCCTATCACTACGCTCTTCCTTGGTACGTCCCGCACGATCCAGGAGCATCTCCTGGCGCCATCACTTCATCACACCCTCACGCTACTGGGAACAAGTGCCTTACTAGTAGTAACAGGTGCCTTACTACTAGTAACAAGAAGCTATTAAAAACAATAAGCTACTAGGAACACTCAAGGCTTGGGGTCCCGAAGGCGAGCTTTCTCGAAGGCGTCTGATTGGGCGGTTGTATATCCAAACAAATATCCAACACATCCATGCAATGGAATAGTGTCTTACATTAAGATCATAACATGGGGTATGTAACCGGTATGTATGTATCTGTTCCATACATGGATGGCCTGAAATAATACATGTTTCTCTTGAGTTCTCTGGGAGTGTAGTGATACTGGACATGTTCTTATCAGCGAACAAAACTATAACTGACATCATACCCAGCATTGCAGCATGGAGGTGGGACAGCTTCTTGTTTTTGTTCTTTCTTGTTAATTACTTTACTTACTCACTCTTACTCTTGCTCTGTCTTCAATCTTTAGCCGATCTGCAAAGGGTGTGCACTATCGGAGGTACAGGAGGTCCAACCCGGCAACATTCGTCTCAGAACATCTTTGTGCCTTCACTGCCACGATCTCACCCGTGGTCTTACGCCGCGCGGCGAACACGCAACCTCACCGATGAGTTGGCTCTGCATAGCTCCGTCTAGCTCTGCAGCTTTTTGGACAAGACCAAACATCTGTGAGATCAATGCTGGATGGAGCCCGGTGGCTCTTCCCTGCATCTATTACATCTATTTACCATCTGAAGAAACACTAACCAAAACATAACCAGCAAATGCCAGTCAATTTTCACTCACTGGTGATCACGCCAAGGGGCCGTAGCTGCCAGCGCCCAGCAAATCTCCACGATGGAAGTCCCGGGCCAAGCGCAGCTGGCCTCACATGTGGAATGACTCGAGCAGCTCAAAGAGTACAAATAAAGGTTCTCCGGGATCTGGCCTGTATAGAATTGTTTGTTGAGGTGTGGATCGACTACGGATTCAACACATGTCACTTTTCTCCAGTGTTGAATCTCTATTTGTTGCAAGCATTTTGGATGCATGTTAGACACGTGTATGCACTCACCTCTGGAAAGAATGTCGGGCAC